CTGTATACTATACTTAGGGGAAAAAAGAGAGGCTGAAGTTAGAGCAGCATGCAGGAGAAGTGCTGAAATGAAGAATCCATGAATAGCCTGAACGGAGTTTTTTATTCCTGGACCTCACAGCTGACTATAGAAAAACTGTTGAAGATTCATTACTGAAGAAGGAATTATTTATATTATTAGTTTGTGCGTTCCTGGATTAGGCTTTTCAGTGTTTTTTTTTTAAAGATATCTCCATCATGTTACAACATATATACTCTTTCTACAAAGCCTTAGCTCCAGGAGAGGAATGTGTACTTGGAGCATATGTAAGTATTTGTCTAAATCATAATCTTCCTTAGAAGTCCTGCAAGATAAAAAAGAAATGCATATATGTCACATGATAATTTGATCTAGGTACTTTACAGGCCTTAACCTATTATATACTCATGAGCAGCATTTTGTGAAGTAGGTAAGTGGATATTGCTCTTGGTTTTTTTGAACAGAAGGTGGTGATGGCCTGAAAGACAAAACCAGAACAAGCAGAAAAAGAAAAAAATCTTGCCCCAAAATGCTTAAACAGCAAATTATTGAAAAAAGGTGTCATTATACATTATGAATCTCAGGCAGAGAAAAAAACTGCTTGGAGTGCTCTTTTGACTGAAGTTGACAGTATTCCAGCAGCAGTAAAATGTGCCTGGCAAAGCCAAATCATCACTAAAACGTTCTGTTACATGTAGTGAGTTTTACTGGTGGAATTACATTATCACATTTGAATCGATCCCTGTTGCTTGAAAGCATGAGGATTTTGTTGTATATCCCAGAACACAGATATGTACGTGATATAGTTGCTCAGTGGGGAAAATCTGATTAAACCGATTAGAGTACACTTGCAGATATGGAAGTTAAAATGACTTGTCTTGGTGTCTACTGTTTATTTGAGGGGTGAACATAATGGAGTCAAACCTCCAATTTAATCTGTAGTCAGCAGGGTTCTAACCTGTTCAGCAAGACTTCAGTGGATTTTTAGTCGGTTGCCTCAACCATTCTGCCTTGGCTATGTGACACATTTGTGGAAACCTTGCTGTGCTAGTAAGAGTGTCATTGTTGATGACTTGCTCTGGTCATGGAAAGTAAGAGGATGGTATTACTGCCACTGTAAGCCACAGGTCCTGTGGTGAGGCCTCTCCAACCACTGACTGCTCTCCATGCTTGAAAGTCACCACACTGTGGGAAATTGGTAGGAGAGTGAGGAGAGTGTAGCCCAGGGTGTTGAGATCTCATGATTTTTGAATGTTAAGATTAAGATCCTTTCAGAAAACACTTAATACCACAGAAGGCAGAGTATCTTGATCTTTCCTTCACTTTAAAGAGCAATTATGTAGCATATGTAGTATATGCAGTTTTCCTGACATACTGCTGATTTTTGTAGACAAAATACACAAAAAAATGTGTGTTCTCCATAGTGTGGGAGAACATGCCGCTGAGAAGGTCAATCATGATTCATTATATAGGCATTGAAACTTCTTTTCATCCCATTTCCGGATTGTGTATTTTCATATACTCTTAGTTGCCACTTCTCAAGTAAGCAGCTAAATTAGTAGCTGAGCTGTACATAATAGTAAAACCCCTCTAAAACCACTTTTGCTGTTAAAGTGAAGGCATATTTTAAAATTTTAGTGATTTTCCACTGTTTCTTCTTTAGTGCTTAGAGAGAGAACAAGAAATTCCCATCTTCATTCGTGTACATACTTTGGTAAAAAGCTTAATCCTTCGGTGATAAATATTAAATGCTTTCTTTGAGTTTCTCAGTACCTTTAAGTCCTTTCATCAACTTCTTGAATTGTACCCACAGCAACTTCTCCAAGCACAGAAAATCAAGACAAAAGACTTCATACCTATGAAAATGATTTAACAGGGAGGTTTTCTGGGAAGTATTTGAAGATCCATGGCAATGCATAGCACAATTATGAAATCTCTCAAAGTCACACTCTGAAAGCACAGCACCCTCCTAGAGTATCACAGAGGGCTTTGGTTGCCTAGCTATCCTCACCTACAACCAAACAATGGGTTAGAAGAGAAGAAGAACACAGATGCATTACCAATGCTCATAAACCTCTGTTCTCCTTGCCTGGTACCGCAAATGACTTAGATACTGTGTATTGAAACTGATTGCAAAATCCATACTGTGGATCGAAGCTCCTTAAGAGCTTCATGCACATCCTCGCACGGAAGGGTAATTGTCAGTGCTCTGAGCTTCTGTCCTGGAAGTCTAAATTAAGAACAAGCCTCTGGGCTGCTGCTAGGCCTGCAGTAACTTCTCAGGCTTTGTCCTCCCTCTATAACCAGCTGACCTGAGCTGCCCCCAGAATACAAATCCACTGTACCGTGCTGTCAAAACAAATTACTAAATATCAGGCAGCACCACACAGGAGACAGAAGCCAGGATCTTAACAAAAGTAAAAGGTTGCTCTCTCATGCTTGCTGAGGAATTAAGGCAAACTAAATGCTTTGGTGGGAGGGAAACATTCGCCTTTCACCAAATGCTGCCCTGAGACTTGATCCAGAAAGTAATCAGGTCTCCCATGAGGAGATAGAGTGAGATGTGAAGAGACAGTGAGATGTAACGAGACTCTGTCCATGTATCTAAGAAGTGCACTCAACTCACAGTGCGTGCAGGTCTTAGGAAAGGGACTCAGAGGGAAGAATTTTATGTTTACATTGTTCATGGTGGAAGCTGGGGACAGGTACAAACCAGGGAGGAAATTTGTGCAGAGGATGAGCATTTGCTCCCCTGTGATATGGGTTGAAGTATGTGGACAACCCTAGGTGCTGAATGAATGTGGGGCTGCAGGAGGAGTCTCCATCTGCATCAGTAAGGGCACTGGGAACCACCCTGGGCTCTGAGCACACTTTTTTTGGCTTTATCTGTGTCACCTGCTGCCACTGCCCAGACTGTGGTGGCAGCAGATGTGGGCAGGGCAGCTCTGGTGTCATCAGGTCCTAAGCACCACCACGGTTATGTACCTCCTCCTGCTTGTTGCTCACTGCTCTGTGATGGAGCTGTGTGTGCCATTGGGGTGATTCGATCTGGTGGTTAAACTGCCTTTTTATGAGCACTGTGCCTAGATGCCTTTGGGAGAAGTGGGTGAGAAGATGGAACAGGACACTGAGACTGCTGTTTGAATAATAGAAGAACAGCCTCTGGTTAAATTTGGGCTGATAATCCCTAGTGAGCTAATACTGTTTTCAGTTACATGGTTTCTTTTTTGCTTCACCATCTCCCTCACCTCCCACATACTAGTTGCACCATCAATTCCTTAGAACCTGCTCTGCTGCTTACTTATGGGTGTGCATGCTGGATCTGAATCCATTAGTGCTTAATGATCTAGATATTTAAAGCTTACCAGGTAGATTATACCCTTACATTCTTCTACTTCAAGTATTTACAAATGAAATGTAAGTTAATTTAAAATGCCACTAAGTTAAGCTGATTCTACTTGCTTGAATTAATATCTCTGTATAGTCCATCAGAATTAACCAAAACACGTGGATGTGGATGTTTCAGTAGAGAAACAGACAGAATAATAAGGAAACCTCATTTCCATTTGTAAAAGTCCTAATTATCCTGACAATTAAGAGGGAATCAGTTTTCCAGTAAAAAAACAAATTAGGAAATTTCTTTAATCAGAGCACGGTATGCAAGGACTTCTCAGAATACTCCAGACTAATGCAGTCTTGAATGTTAAATGCCTGTACGTAAAGAAATGATGGTTTTGAAGAGTCCAGGGATGCTGATGCTCTGAAAGGCTATGATTTCCCCATAACCCACCTGGTAGCTTTCGAACTCCGTACCTGTTCCAAAAATTGGCAGAGAGACAGAGATCTCAAAGACATATTTCACCTTGACGTATTTCTTGAAAACTGGTGGGAAGAAGTCTGCAGCACCAGGAAGGAGGAGGAGAGGTTTTTCACATGATCATGAAATATATATCTGTAGGGAACAAATCTACAGGAGTCCTGTTTTTTGTAAAATATGTTTGTTCTCATTTACAATAGACTATGCAAGAAAAATCTGTCAGAAATACATGTTCTGTTATTTTGTTAATGGTGATTTGCAATAGACTGTGTGCTTTGTCACTATTTTGAGGAGACTTTGTTGTTTTGTTTGATTCAGAAGTGAGCTTACTCATTTACCTGTGCAGTTTGGGGGTACAATTCAAGCACTGTTCTTTGGTCCATTGCATCAGTTTTATGCCATGATTTTACTGAAGACTCTATAGTATGTGTTATATAGAGAAGCTGAATACATTTGAAACTGGCATGGCACTCCCCCTTGGAGTGGGGAGGCCTGCGGTTTTTGTAATGAAAAAGTTTGGAAACATTCATAAGGTGGCCTCCATGCTGTAAATGGACTTTGGAAAGAGTAGAGGCTGATGATAAATCATGGTAAACCACGGAAATCACTTAATCTATGTGAGGGGCTGGTGAGGGGGAAGAACTGATGGCATCGTATCTTCTGGGGCAGATTATAACCTCCCAGCAAGGTTATAAACCCCCTTCCCCTTTTATGCACCCGAGAACAGTAGTCTCTTTCTTGTAAATGAGGTCTCCTTCAATGAAGACTGTTGGCTAAGAGTCTGAATTAAGAACATGGGAGGAAAAACGAAAGAACGAAGCCTGTTTAATTAGGATGAAAGAGACCCCCCTCCTCCCCCGAAATCCTCCAATCCCGGTTTAGCAGAGCATAGGGGTTGTTAGAGCTGAAAGGTCTGACTTGCTGACTTAGGTAAACGCAATGCTCGGCAGATGAAGTCATGCATAATTAATTGTTCTTTGTTGCATTCTTTCCAATGTAATGACTTGTAGCATTCAAGCTTATAATAATTGATGTTTTCTGTGTACTGGAGCTTCAGGACAGCCAATTAAGGCAGTGGAGGTGGTAACTGTGCAGCATCTCTGGCATCTGTTAGTTACCAACATATGTGCTATAACCTTCTTTTGTTTTCTTTACTTGTTTCTAGTGTCTAAAACAGTACATGCAGCTGGCAATTCAAGAAGGTTGTGGTTCTCCTATCACATGTCCAGACATGGTATGCTTGAACCATGGAACCCTACAAGAAGCAGAGGTATCTACACTTTTTTCTTTCGCACTCTCTTTTTTTTTTTTTTTTTTTTTTAATAAACATAAATCCCCCAAATTATCTACATAATGAATATGATCATACACTTTTTCATCCCTTTAATTACCATTAATGAGCTTTTGGCAAGAAGCCTGACTGACAAGGGGAGTTTGAAACAAACAGATGTTTTTTTTCCTCCTTTTCCCCCTCCCTCTGTGCCTTGGGGAAAGGTTTACTTGGCCTCTGGGCAAACTCTGAATTACCCATGCAGGTGACTTAACCAGAGTACCCTGTATCCCAGAATTGCTGAGCCTCCGTTAGCACTGCCAGTTAAATCATGTTTGATTTGACTGCAAACACTGAAATTCCTGCCTCTTTCTTAACTCAAAAGCAAGAACTCAAAGTGATGGTACACAAGGCCAGAATTTCTTTGTGTATGTTGATACTGGGCTTTGACAACCAATTTGCAGTCCAATATAAACATGTAAGGATCTGTAGTTGTATGGAAAGAAAAGTATCTGCACAGCACTAGGTGGAAGTAGGTCTTAAGAGATATGAAATATGTCTTTGCTCTGAAGGCAGATATGGGAGAGGTTGAGAGCTCAGGAGCTAAATGAGATTTAGGCAGAGCTGTTTGCACACCTGGCATGTTCACAATCTCCCAGGGTAACTGGAAGGTTCAGTTTGCAAGTTAAGGCAGAGAAACTGGAGAGAAAATGTGCTCCTCAGACCTTGTTGCAATGATTGTCACCACGGGGTTGTAGGTGGCCCCCACCAAGATGTCCAATGGCCTCCCAGCAATTTTCCAGCAGCCTCCTGACAGACTCAGGGCTGGTGTGAAGTTTCTGGATTGGGCTCAGTGCCAAACCCATGACATGGGGAAGAGCTGTTGGCAATGTGGCAGAACCCTCATACATGCCAGCTGTTCTGTTCATCTAGAACGGATAATCTGCTGGCAAATCTGACACTGCCCTGTAGCTATTCTTGCTTGCTTTGTTAGGCAGGAATGTCCCTGCTGGGGCTGAGAATACAAGCTGAGAAAAAACCCTAAGAAAATAGGTGGCGAAGGGATTTTGGCTGGTTTTGTATGCTCTCTCAGCATTTGGTTGCAGGAATAAAATCAGGGAGAATTAGATCTCCATCCCTGAACTGAAGAAAAGCAGTTTGTCTTCTGGGTTCCCTTTAACCCTGTGTAAACAGATGACATAACTGTGGCAGAAGTATATAATTAGTGACAGTGTGATTCCCGATACCAAAAATGTCTTTTACTCCAGAAAAATTCAGAATTTCCTCTCCAACATCCATTTCAAACACTGTGCTTAGCATGGGAGTTGCAGCTATGTTTGTTATGGCATGCAGGCATATGGTGGAGCTTTTTTTTTTTGGCTGAATCCAGCTACTGTGGAAAGTAGCCAGCTGTTTCCCTCTGCTCCTCTTTCTACACAGACATAGAGAGGGTGTAGCAATGTCCCTCCCAACCATCACACCAGATTGGAGGCATCTAGCCTCTATTAAAAATGCATTTTTAAAAGAAAATTAGCAAATGCTAAGAAGAATTCTGCTCTGTTAATCCAGGGTTATGATGCTGTGGGAATTAAGAGATACATATTTTCCCTTAGTAAAGCAGGAGCATGCTCTAGGGCATGTATAAATGGACCACTAGCTTAATCCTCGGGTGTTTTGGGGGCTGAAAGCAAAATGACTAAACAATCCAAATGTACATTAGTGTCCCGGGGATGAATTAATGTTCTGACACTCCCTTTTGGTGATGTGCTTGAAACACAAACCTTCTGCCTGAATAGCAAACAAGTCCCCAACCTGGTTAAAATTATTGCTTATGTATTTTAACAAATAACTATTTCTTTAAAGAAGAAAACCACCCAGAAAAAAAGCATTAAACCCGGGAAGAATAGGTTGACTCTATTAACAATCTGCAAATATGTAAACTGTAGATTATGTATGAGCACTCTCTATTCCTTTTTCTTCCCTATAAAAGCTGTTCCATGTGAACTTGTGGCCTTTTAAAGCTATTATCTAAAAAACTAGAACCTTATCACGTGGTAGAGAATGTGCTTAAATATGCCTATTGTTTGTCATGGAAGTACTAGTTAGAATTACAGTATACTCATTGCACACTCTCAGACTCGTGGTGTGAAAGTATGAGGCTTCTCACTTCTGGAGGGTCTGGATGTTTGTTCTCTGGCTTCTGCCAGGACAAGGTTGCTCAGCATGACAATACTGTGAGGAATGACAAGTTACCTGTACTGGGGAAAAAAAAAAGTCCTTTTTCACCTCTGTGATAGCATCAGTGTTTTGAAAAGGTGTATTTTTCTTGTTATGTTAATTTCAGACTATGCTCTGACTGCTGTTTATGAGGTACTGTTACAGTTTGGAGAAAAAATAGCAGTTCAAACTTTGTCATGGACATGGTGTTAAATTGGTTTCTATAGTTCGAGCTAAATGCTCTTAATTATGTTAGCTAGCACAGTTATTTTGTTTGCTTTTTAAAGTGCCTTGTGCCCCAGCCTACACAAGAGAGATAAAGGTCAATTTAGGCATAATTTGAAGTGAAGGAAAGTGTTTTCATTGACTTCCATGCATTTTGGATTGAGCTTTCTTCAAGAAGGAAATTGAACAGTTAATAACAAAGCTTATAGGCACTTATAACACAGCACAGCTATGAAAGTTTCTCTTCTTCCCTCTCTAAAGATCCTTTTTCAAGGTGTGTAACATTTCTTCAGTGCTTTCCAGTGACCTGTTTGTCTTCACTAAGACAAACCAGAATAAAGTCTGGTTTAGCTTCTCAGTAAAGTTTTTAAGACTTTAAATCTAGTTTGGTACTAAATTATTAGAGCTTTTTTGCAGGTCTTGCCTTGGTTCTGCTTCATGTGCTTCTTCTGTTGCTATTGGGGGATAGAGTGGGGCAAAAACTCTGGTTAACATTTTAAACAAAGAATAGAATTTCTCTTTTGTATATCACATGAAGAAATGAGCAAGTGTGAATAGCAGGAATGTGTTTCTCTAATATAGTTGAATATTTCTTCAGTGTCTGGGGAGTAAACTGCTTATTCATAGAGTATAGGAGATACTGGGAATTAACGCTTTACTTTCAGTCTCTGTGTCCCTCTGGACCCAAGAAAAAAAATATTCCAGGTTTTTATTCTTGAAGTTCTTAAAGTGAAAAGTCATCTGAACCAAAAATGGTACTTTTCAGTACTTTGAAAATATGTTTTCTAAAACTCCTCTGGTTTGGTTTCTTCTTTTTTTTTTTCCCTTTAACACAAGCTAGTTGAAACTGGTATATTCCCCAGCAGGTTTCTTTTGTTTTGAGAAATAGTACATTCAAACAGAAGAAATTGTTCTGCTGGAGTGCTTGAAATCAAATGCAATCCTAGGTCATATCTTCACCTATTACAGCTAGATAGCAGCTGCTTGTAGTATAGCTGTCTTTAAGCAGAAATAAATGAGGGGTAGTTGTGGTAAGGTGGTGGTTTTGGCTACAGGCTCTGTTTCAACTATCTGGTTACACAAAAAAGAAGAAAGTTTAGAAACAGTCTTGTTAAATGAAATGTTTGTCCTTTTGAGCTCTAATGGTACAATAAACAAAGATGATTTGGATTTCTTCCTGGAAGCAGAGGTAGAAGGAATATTTTAGGTTAATGCAGTTCTCTTAAATTGTGCAGATGACTTCTGTCTAGAATATTCCTGTCTCTCTTGGGAACTTGCTCCACTGATTTAATTGGACCAGTTAATACCCCTAATCTAAATAAGAGGTAATTTATCACAGTTTGAAGTGGTTTTGCTTGGTATGAATCCAGTCACCAGTGTAAGCTATGAACCAGGATAAGTCTCCACTGCATACAGGGGTTTCTAACGCAATACTCCCTTGGATAATGTCTAGGGGATTATGCTTTGCTCTTTCTGATTTGGATTAAAACTGTGCAGCAGTCAGTAAAGGAGGTACTGATTTGGGCTCTCCTTTTGCCTCTTAAATTTGTCGAGAATTACCCATTTGCATGTGTAGTGCAGATTCTGCTTATTGTCTCTCTGTCTAGGTAAACCCAGGATCTACACCAGTGCTAACCTGAGAGAGGGTTGTCAGCACTTTGTAAAGTGATGCTGGGGTCACTTTGTACAGTGACCCAGATATTAGAATTCTTAATTGCATTACATTCCATAAATAGCCTACTGGGAGTAGGTTTAAAATACCAGTTTTATTTTTAATTTGAAAATTGGTTTACATTTTCCTGGTGGAGATTGAAATGATAAAATGAGAAGGAATGTGAGAAAACGTTGCAGGCTGACCTATCTTTTTCAGGGTCAAAATAAAAATGTTTGATCTTATTTACCCATTTTTAAATAAAATGAAGGGGAACAAATGAGAGCCTTAATTTTGTTTTTATTTGTCACTAAATAAGAGAAGAGCTTCTTAATGGAGAAAATGAATAATTTAGTATTTCTTTATGACTCCAGTGAGCATGGTAGCTGATGAAGAAAGCTATGGGTGTAATTTCTAATAATAAAGAGATTGAACTCCCATCCCCCTTTCAAAAGCAAACCACTGCCCTTTTGAAATTCTTTTACACTGCTTGCAAAATGAGGCAGTGCCTCTGTGAGTGGGATTTTGTCAGAGGTGGACAATGCCACCCTTTTCAAACTGCTGTTGCTGCTGCCAGTGCAGGATCCGTCCTTGCTCCCTGTCTGCTAAAGTGAGAGGGAGAAGCACTTGTCCTGGTGAACTTCCCTCCCTTGGCATTATCAAGGTTTGATTCATATGGGTGTGAAAGGAAGTAAGATCTATTCAATTTTCTTGATTGCCTCCTTGCACCTCCCTTGAAAGCCTGAGAATAGGTGGAGTAGTGATTTTCCCTTTCCACTCTGGTAGCCAGTGTTTAAAAACAGGGGAGTTGTTCTTCCTTGGGTCCCGGTTGCTGCACCGCCTGTAACAGTTTACCCCTGTGTCAACTGAACCAAATTATTTTGAACCCTTTCATTTTCCTTTCTTTGCTCTTCTGTCTTGTGTAGTAACAGCATCCCTGGTTATTGTACCACACTGGGCTATCTTTTTGGATGCTTGGCAAGGGGCCAGCCAGAGCCCTTTGTGGTAGTAAGCCTTCAAAATTTTGCTCTTTTCCATGGGTATTTTTACTTCCAGTGAATGCTGCTGTTCTTAGCAAGAGGTCTTTTGTGTTCTTGTGCTCTATAACAGAAGTATTTTAACTGCAGGTGTTGCTTACAGGGTGTAGACAATCAGAAAACTTATTTCAGCTCCTAACAGTCCGATAAGCCTCAAATCAAGATATTTTCAGGAGAGGAGAGTCCTTGCCTATAATCTTTTACTAAAATCCCCAATATTAAAAAAAAAAAAAAATCCCCAAAACTTGTCTTGTAGCATTTCTTCCTCCACTGGTTTCATAACCTAGAACAAGAAACATCTGCTTTCTGGTGTGGTCATGGTCTTTCTCTTTTGGCCCTTTGCCATCTGCTGGCTTGCCAGTTTGCTGCCTCCCCAGATTTCCATCCCCTGACCAGCCCAGAGATGTTTGTGGTTGTGCAGGAGAGGAGGAGAGGAACGGACACCCAAGTAGGGCTCAAGAAGCTGCCTGGAGATGAACATTTAGACTGATGCCAAGTAGGAGGAGATAAACACCAAATCCTCTTATCATGCTTGTGGCTGTCCTTCTTGATTAAGTGTAAGTGAGATTAAAAGTTCACTAAGGAAAGGATTTGATGTTTTGTTATGTTTCTTATGGGGACCTGATACTCATGTTTCTTTCCCTCTTTCTTTCTTTCTTTCTTTTTTTTTTTTTCTTTTCAATTGAGTCTGTGTGTACAGCTCTGATGCAGCACTGAATTCATGCAGCAGCAAATTGTACATTCTTTTCCTCATGCCTAAAGATACTAAATCTGTGAGAGGCTTTGGCTCAGCACATCTCAGGTTGATGTCTGTGTGGGTGTTATCAGGACCTGGTCTTTCAAATCCCGAGGGAGTCATTGCCAGGCTGCATGTGTTCAATACCAGAGCTGCATACAGAGAGGGGGCAGCTGAGCTATGAAGAGGGTTTGTAGGAAGAGGAGTGGGGCCAGGTGAAACCAGTAGGGAAGGCTGGCATGGTAAACTCAAATTTTCCATAGGAGAATGGGAGGCTTTCAGCACTGACTCTGCTTCCTATTGAAATCTACAATAAAACTCCTACGTCTGCTCCCACTGTAATCAAAAAGGCTGATTTTTAATACATGGGAAATTCTAGGCTTGATAGAACTGCTCTTGAAAAAATTTTTTGTTAAAAGCCAAAGCAAGCACAGAAAGACCCCAGACAACTAAACAATTCACTTGAGTGGCTCTTACAGCATTGAGACTTGCTGGTTTAGTTTAGTCCCTATGAAGGAAAATTTGAAGTAGTTGCCAGTGCTCACCCAGCTAGAGAAACACACATGACTCTTATTGTTTTCCAAACTATTCAGATTTGAAGCTGCCCTGGGGAGGAGTGGGCAATACTGAAATAACGTGTCTTTGCTGAAACTGCCAAACTTCACTCTTTTTACCGATTTCATTTAATTAGTATTTATTTTCCAAGAGTGTTTTAGCCGACTTCTGATGAACAGGTGAAGAGTTTCCCAGGAAACTCTCTGTGTTTTCCAATCATATTAATGTAATATTGTTTCATATTAAAAACAGTATACAAGCTGAATTCAAAACTGAGTGCAGACAGTACTTTGACAGTAGGCAGATTTACTAGACTAAGAATATACTCTGTAAAGATTTGTTCACGTTTCCCATTTTGATATTAAATCCTTTGACTCTTCTAACTATAAGAATCTTTAAGTCTTCTAACTATAAGAATCTTTAAGCATCTTTGAACACTTAAATCCTGACATAATTTGGATTCATTTTTGTATAACACTGCCTTAGGTTAAATAAATGATCCAGGCATCTGCTACAAAATGCAGTGTTGTACAATCAAGTCCAACTGATTCAAGATATTAATACAGAAATTTCATATTTAATAATACAAATACACTTATTATTTTCTTTTTTTTTTTTCTCATCTATGAAAGGAAATGTGTTAATAGCATGGTATGGAATATATACTGGATTTTTGTTATATTTCTTCTCATGAATACTGTATCACACAACCCAGAAGGGGAGCAAGGGCCAGTGTCCACTTCACTGAAGGCAAATTTTGCCTTTTACAGTAATCTGAAGGACTGTGGTGGGATTCTGGATGAGACTATCCCACTGAATGAGAGCCCTTCACTTCAAAGCTGTCAGTTCTACACTGCTTCACAGTGCTTCAAATGATCAGGTCTTGGTTTAGTGTCAGTCTGGGTTTATTTTCAGCAAAAGAGAAAGACATATTTGCTACTGGTACAATATTACAAACGGATCAGACAAAGAGAATCATCCCACATTCTGAATCTGACAAATATGTACCTCCTGTAGTGTCTGTGAAGTTTCTTTTGAATCCCTCATTACCCTGTGTGGAGGTTTGCTTATTAGTTCTAAATAGGGCATTTGGTTTTCTTACGTAGACTGTTAATTGGAGATTAGCACATTTAGCTTTTTAGGCTGCTAGTTTAATTATGGTAATGTGTAAAGTGTATCAGCAAAGCCTGATTGTCTATGCCAACTAAATTTGTTATCTTCAGTCCAGTTCCCAATAGGCTGATGTGTGTCTAAGTCAAATTCCAACAGCAATGGCATTAGCTGCCTTAGCTCACATCCCATAAAGGGAATGCAAAATGGAAACCAGATCGGCTTTTAAGTTCCTGAGAGCTAAGTGACCCCTACCACTAAGACTGGGAGACATGAATGAAGAACCATTGATTTGGGCTGTACACTTGTGCATGAACAACATGCTGCAGTCTCCAAGGCTGGCAGCATGTCACCCTTTGTTACATTAAACCAGTATGAAACCAAAAAACCTGAAGTAAATACTGAATTCAGAGAGAATGCTTTCCGATGCAAGATAAGAAAGATGTGGGCTCATCTACTAGGCTGTGTTGCTGAAATAGGGGAGGTCAAGAACTGCTTTAAATTTTGGTGAAGGAAGTCAAGGTATGGAGGAATGAGGTGCTGAAAGCAAGCAGGAAAAAAAGTGAATATGAGAGCCAGCTCAGGAAAGCAGATGTGTAGAACAGCATGCTTATTAATTTTCTTAAGTCTGTGTTTCTAATGCTTTTTCTGTGTGTTTGTTTCTCATTTCAGATTGCCTGTTTGGTGCCTGTTGACCAGTTTCAGTTGTACAAGAGGTTGAAGTTCGAACGAGGTGTGAACTTTTTGTTTCTATTACCTTCCTTTTTACAGTGTCAGTGGAGGTAGCACTGCTATATACTGCAAAGACAAAGCCTGCTGAGTGAGTTAAGGAAGAGACAAAGATGTCTTTGTTTTGAAATAGTTTAAGAGCAATCACTAGGTCTCACTGTGCTCCACAGACTAATCTGAAATTCTTTCAGTTTTGCAGAATCAACAAAGTGGCATCTTACTGAATTATTAGACTTCTACTCAGGCTTGTGGGCAACACTCTCAGACTGTGAGCCTGAGGCTCCATTGTTCTTCCTGTAGCATGCTCATCCTGGGTCCTTGAGCTGGTGGTTGTACTGGTAGGAGTGCTAGAGGCTGGTGCAGGGCAAGGCATACAATCCTTTTATGCATCCATAGGGATCTTCAGAACTTCTGGGTAAGACATACCCTGAAGTGCAAAGCAGATTTTTGCAAGCATCACTGAAAAATAGTTTTTCTAATGTAGAAGCCTCATGTGTGTTCATCTAGTATAGCTGTTTTTCCTTTTCCAGAGGAATAATGAGTAAAGCCTATTAGTAAAGAAATCTGAGACTGACGGTCTCACTGGGGCCAAGATTTCCTATTTCCAGAGGTCAGCCTTCTGCACCTGGAGATGGTTCCTTGCCAAGGCTGAAGAAGAAACTTGCTAGTCAGAAGGATGAGATCCCATTCCTGCTTTTAAAGACCAACTCTAACCTGAAAGTCTGAGTTGGAAGTTGCAGTGTTTTTCAAAGGACTCACTGCATGATAGTTTGCAGAGTGGTGTGTCTGGGACTGATCTGCCCTAACTCTGCCTGTTTTCAAACTTTCCTTGAAAGACTGTATTTACGTTCTTGCTTTGCATGAATGCTTAGATGCAGGTAGACTGAGAATGTGTAAGACAGTGCAGAGGTTTATAAAAATCAGGCAAAGTAATGCACTTGAAAAGATGGAACATATAGGTTTCTACAGGATCTCATCTGACATGAGTCAGATGAGTGCATGACCACAAAGTACAAAAACTTCAAAATGAGTATGCTCAAATATGCCCCAGAATTCATGGGCAAGTGCAGATTTTAGCTATGATTTGTAGGCACTCAGGCCAAAAAAAAAAAAAAAAGAAAAAGAATTCCAAACTTTGCTTGCATTTTTTATTCCTCTTTCCTATTATACCACCTTTGCATTTATCCTTAATTCCTTAGCAAGTCCTTCTGGTTCCTAAGCCCATTGGTGGCTTATCTACAGTCCTAGACAATGGAAATCAGAGCTTGTTAAATCACCCTATTAAAGGGTTATGGAAGAGAGACATTCTTGCAATACATTAATCTGTTTTATGTAAAACCTTTTTTTAACTGAAGACTCTGAAGCTAACGTCTTCTGGTATCTCCTCCTCTATAACTACCCAAAGCTGAACTCATAATCTTCTGTCCAACTCACTGCTAACATTTCTTTTTTTTTTTTTTTTTTTACTGTCTCCCACACACAGAAGCCTGAAACTTGTCTATTTTTACAATCCTCCTTCCCTTTTCTTTCTTGCCTAAGTCTGACAAATCCTCCTCCACTTCTGCTATCTCTCTTCATTATGATTCTAGGATCTGTCCTTGCTCCTTTATGATGAGTAAAACCGGTATCCAAGGAGCAAACTTGGACATAGCTTTTTGCCCCAGCAGTAAATCCAGCTTACTGATGTCTGGGAACAACGATTGGTGCTAGCTAAAGCTCTCACCTGGGCACCCAGCACTAATACCAACCCTGGCTAAGACCTTTTGCCTAACCTGGATTTAGTGTTGTCCCCAAGGCTGACCCCGTTTTTGGACTAATCAGTTGGACTTGGCTTATTAGCTTCTGCTGGCTTGAAGCTCTGTTCTCAGACCTGAGCCTTACCTTGCAAAGCCTGCCTGTCCTGACCAATGCCAACACTAGTCTGACAGTCTTCTTCTGAAGCTAGCACTAAACATTGTTGATGGCACCTGCTGGGGACAAATTCTGACCTGGAATCTGCCCAGGGACTCCCGGCAGCCTGAGATCTGTTGTGTTTCTTATGTCTTTGTCAGCCTTAGCACAACCCAGCCCTTTTCAAACTTACCCCTCTCCTCCCTTAAAATAGGGAGGTGCTAGGGTGTCCTTCATGACTTTTGTTCTGATCAACAGAACCCTTTACCTTCCTCTATTTAGATCCTTTTCTCTCAGCTTTATTCAGTTGAGATATTGACTTTTTGCAGAGTGCACTGACAATATGCTGTTCTCTTGTGGGTTCATGTTCTTAAAATGCAAATATTCTCAGGCTTTAAAACAAGCTTTCTCATATATCTGTATCTTCTCTGCATCTGGTTAGGGCCAAGCCACAGAGCTTATGTGCAGAATATTTTAGTAGAAGAAACAGGAATTGCTCTATGTCTATTAAGGATGGGGCTGATGTCAGCACCTATCAGAAGTAAAGAAATAGAGGAATAGTATGTGGTTAGGACACACGTGTTACGTTTCTGTTTCTGTGACAATTGCCCAACAGGCTGAGTGGTGGATGATGAGAATCTCCATCTTATGCCTGTAGTCCTTTTTAAAAGGAGGTGTTCCTAATATTCTTGAAAATTAGGAATATTCCTAATATTCTGTGAAATAGAATCATAAACTCATCCTTTCAATGAGTACCTCTCCTGAGACAGAAATTCTTTACATCAGGGTGCTGCATTTCCCTTGTCTTCCTCCCCCATCTCACCTGTTTTATGAAAACTAGCTGTATCCCTGCCCAGTACTGGCACTCTTTGGGAAGACTTTCCCCCTGAGAGTGGAGTGCATTGTGGCTGAACTGGCTGTGGGGAAGCAGGGGAAAGTGTTGGAAGAGAAATGGCCCTAACCAAAAGATGGAGCAGCTTGTCAGAGTAGGACGATAGCCTCTTCCATGTTTTTTGGCTGAGTCATTTTATATTTTTCTGGTCTCATTTGTACTCCATGATAAACCAAACTGTATGAGACAGCATGGATTGCAAAACACCATCTGTAAGTTCTTTGTAAAATGGAGGAAGTGGGAGAGGAGAGAGTTTCATGTCATGCATTACATCTTGCTGCAACAAATTGCTAAAAAACAGTGAGATGCACTATCCAACTCCCCTCCTCCCAGTGATGTCAAAACCAGACATCCTGTCTTTCATCCAAAAACAGGATAGGAGAATTTAGGTTTCCAAAGTTGAGTATTTTAATAAGTATCTGCAGGACCCACAATTTATCTCATTTTAACTGCTCAATATAAACAGAAAACATACAGAGCCTACTGTGTCAAAGATTAAAGTAAATAATAGGTACTAGGCCATGGTCTTACCCAGTTCAGAGCTTCTTTTAAGAGACACTGAAGAAACCTACAGAAATAATTGTTTCTCAGAAAGTACTTTTTAGAAGTATGTAAAAATGACAAATTACTTGTTTGACCATGCCTCTCTTGTCCCCACAAACAAAGATGCAAACGAATTTGTTCTGACTTTCATTCAGTAGAAAGCAAAATGTTTGTTCATTTTGGGAGGCAAAGGAAGCATGGGCAAGAGAATAAGAGGAAATAATGCAACTAGATTCATGAAATGGCTGAAGGTAGGTGGTACAGCTGTTTTGCTGGCACTGCCTAAATTAGAGGTAACAACCTTTGTCATGGATGCAGAAATTCTCCACCTGTGTTGGAGCACTCGAGCACAGACTCAGAAATTACCTGAAGTCAAAGCATTGTGTAGCTGTGTGTCCTGCAGGCAGCAGAGAAGACAATCATTCTTCTGTTGTTCCAGCAAAATTTTCCAGAGAACATGTATCTGAGGCTCTTGTGCAGCCTTTTATTTCAGGTGGGACAACATTTTATCTGCTGGAGGTACATTGCAATGGCCTTTACCGTCTCACAGTCAGGGTTTCCACCTGCTTCTGAGACATGCCCTCCATCTAATTATTTGCAGTGGTGGTACCAGGGAACTCCTGTGGAAAGATGAGAGGCAGGTAGCTCCTCCAGGCATGACAGCTCTTTTCTAGGGAGGCTCTGAAGGGTGTGAGTTTTTTAGCTGCGTCTCACTGACTTGAGCAACAAGTGAACAACAGTGCAGGTGTTTCAACTGTGTCTTTTGTTGCAAGTCCAAATTCCTTGAATAAAGCTCAAGAAAGGAGACTCCCCATTTATCATTCTGTGATATGTGGTAATAACTGTAACTCAGTGTGTCCACCTCGAATCTTGACTATTGTTCTAATCTCTTTACCAGACAAACAATGATGACATTACACAGTGAATATTAACTGGAGTTTGCAGATAGAGGGGAGTAAATAAGGCATGGAAAGTGACTTGAAATTAATTTAATTATAGTCCTTCTGCTGTTGACGTAGAAATTACTGCATGGCTTGTCATGTGAAAGACTTGGAAGAGCCTAGTGTCACAAAAGACGTTTGCTTGTCAGTAAGTAGCACTTAGGAGCCCCTGGTGGTCTAGCGGTAAAGGCGCGGCGCTATCACCGCCGAGACCCGGGTTCGATTCCCGGTCAGGGCCACTCCCGGGCAGGTGGGGCTCGTTAGCCCTTAAAGGCAACCCACCTACGTCCTAAGGACCTCGCTGCCATCGTCCAAGCTCGCTTGGCCCCGGCAGATGAACCTTAGGATTAAAGGGTGGGCTCAGTTCCGCGCACACTGTGTCTCACCTAAAAAATCCAATGCGCAGGCTGGAAGGTGGAAAGACCTTCCCCGGATCTTCGCTCGCGAAGACTGGCCATTTTTTTTTAAAGTAGCACTTAGGTTTGTATTTTGGACCTCCCTATAAAAAGGTAAAGAATATGCTCTGTGTAGTGTATTTCTATTCTTGTGATGATTTTAGTGCAGTTGACTTAGCAGAGCGCAACTGCAGACTTACCTAAAGAAGAGTAGGCTCAAATGCCCGTGGGCATGGGTGTGGAGCTCTTTGGCTTCCACATGTAATTGCAAAATTGGGTCTTATATGCCTAGGCACAAGTCACTGGAATGAAAAGGGGGCTGTATAAACAGTTTTATTTCTTTCTCTGTTGCATTTCAGAAGTGCACTTGGACCCCGAGAGAACATGGTGCCCCACGGCCGACTGCCAAACGGTGTGCCACATTGCATCAAGTGAGTCTAGAGCACCGGTGCCAGTGGAGTGCCCGGCTTGCCACCTGACGTTCTGCTCCTCTTGCAAGGAGGCATGGCACCTGCAGCACCTGTGCCAGGAAAACCAAACTGCTCCAGTCCCAACTGAGCAGGGGTAAGAGGGGAGTCCACGGAGGCCACGCAGCCTTTTGGTTCTTTTTGTCACAATGCCTCACATTAGGTTCATGGAGCGACTTACTTCTAAGTCCATAGGTTCATCTCTGAGGCTGTCCATCTCTCCCAGTGTTTCTTAAATAAAATTCCAGTCTTCATATTACTTTAAATGATATAAATTTTTTTTTAATACTTCATATTATTTGCCTACTTGTCAAGCTTGGGTTGCGACTGACACTTCTGAAAGGTGAAGACCTCCAGGGCTTTGAATCTGCCTAAAGGCTTTGTTGCCATGCTGGAATTAGGACTTTTGCCCATACAAACAATCCAATATACTAACATCCCAGGATCCAAATTTTGCTTATACTGTGATTAAGAAATAGCTTAATATTTGTAAAATATCTGCATAGAGAAACCTTAACTCTTACACAGAGTGTAAATTTCATCTGCTATGAAAACCAAGATTTAAGCTCCTTTTTTTTAGGTGCAAATAACCTACAGACAAAGGTTGCATAACTCATTAATCTACAGAAAGAGAGCACTTTTGTGCTTAAATTATGTTATGCCTCTGACCCTCCATTTATGTTTTCAGAATCTGATTTTATTTAGTTGTATGTTCAAAGTTTTCCATCAGTTTTTGCAAGAACTGAGAGACTTAAAATCTGAGCATTCTGCTTGCTAGAGACCTCACTGAATAAGGAGTTGCCAAAAAGCTCTTGCCATGTTTTTTTTCTCCAGCTTTGGTTTCTGGCTTTGGTGGAGTTTAAGCTTATTTTGTTCAGGCAAGGACAGTGGTATGAGTTGCATAATCCAATCCTGTTAAATGTATTGTGCAAGCTGTCTGTAACAAAGACCTAAGTTTTAATGCTATAGGTGAATAATTTGTGGGTGTAGTGAGTGTTGGTTTTATGTAGCATAAAAGAAAAAGGCAATGAAGTTTTACTTTTATGTGATATTAATATCTTACACCTAGCAATGAGTATATGCTGATGTATTGTACTGAACATAAGAAACTTCACCCCTTTGAGTGCATTAGGACAACATCCTTAGATGCTCTGGAAAATAAGCACAGTATACTTTAGGCAGTGGAATATCAACAGTAATTGCATTCACATTTCACTTTAATGTTTCCTTGCTCTTCTAGATCCCTTATTGGAACAGAGACAGAGGCACCAATTAAGCAGTGCCCAGTTTGTCGAATCTATATTGAGCGAAACGAGGGCTGTGCTCAGATGATGTGCAAGAATTGCAAGCATACGTTTTGCTGGTACTGTCTACAGAACTTGGATGTAAGTGCTGCAGGAAAAACACCTAGAGTAACAGGGTTGGGCTTAGTGTGAGGCCCTATCCAAGCTCTTCATTAATTCATCACTGTCCTAGCAAATAGCTTGCTTTAATTCAGCTTCTGACTAAATTTCTTTCTCATCTTTCACCCAAGGCTTTTCTTTCTATAAGTATCTTCCCCCACCTCCCAATGAGTGTTAAAGCCATGTCTGTGGGTCACATGCTGGTTCTTTGAGGGAAATAGGATGGACTAATTGCTTTCTGGTGGTTCTTTCCAGCAACACCTTGCTCTTATTCCCTCTTCCAGTAGCTAAAAACCATTTGATTTGAGGGCAAAAACCATTTGAGAGTGAGGGCAATAAGTGTCTTCCACCTGCTTCAACAGCAAAGGACACAGAATGTCCAATTGCTGGTATGATCCTGGTTGAAGGGGGTTGTTCCATGATATAGTGCTTAAGAACTCATATGGCCTCCTTTGCTAGTCCATCTCTTGTGCTCTGTTTGCTGAAGAGAATGGTTGGTTGGGAAGCTTGAGGATAAAAATGTTGGATTATGAGCCTGGATTGGGGAGTGCATGTTGGTTTCTCAAGGATTGCGAACTAGTCTCAACTTGTGTGGACTTCAAGTTTCCAAGCAGATTTAAGAGTCCCGGAAGTAATGTGCTCGTGTGTGTGGCAGTTTGCCTTTTTGGCACAGACATCACTAATAACTGTGGGAGTGTGAAAAGTACATTACCAGCACTTGAAACAAAATGCTATGTGCTGCATGGCTTTTCTTGTCCTCTCTTTTGTACTGCGACTCCTGTGGCAGTGAACAAACAATGAGACTTCCTCATTCTTCATCCTTCCTTTGCTCATCATGCTAAACAGGTTTCACTTGGTGTTGTGTCCCATTTCCATGTGGATGAGCACACTTTTTCAACACGAGTCTTACAGCTTGCTTCAGAGTACATACAGTACACGGTGATTGCTTAACACTGTGCTGAACTGGAAGAGTGTCAGATTCTTGCAGGCTCTGCAATTATGCCCTTATCGAGCTTTTGTCTGTTCAAAGAGAGGAGGAAAAGAAACTGTAGTTGTGGGGTTCAAATGTAGTTTTTCTAAACGTTCTGAGTTACAGGAACTCTGGGCATAGATGAAGGTAATATGTGTAAAGGCAGCGAGTAAGGCTGAAAAATGAAAGGGGAAGCAGCATCAGGTTACAGCACAGCTGGCTGAGGGAGGGTAGTGGAGGGCGTGAGTCACCTTCTGAAAAAAACTTGGTAATTTAGTAAGTGTTAATGAGAAAAGAGAAGGGTAACAGGATTTTTCTCCTTTTTAATTTTCCAGTAAAGTCTAGGAAGAAAATTCCTATAAAGTGTAAATAGAGCAGGAGAAGAGCAAGTAGAAGCACCTCAGAAAATGATCCCTCACACTGCTAGTTTTCAGAGATAACTGCTGTTTTCAGACCCCTTTAGTATCATCAAATTACAGACCAGGTTCTTGTGCAACAGGTGCAACTCATAGGCTTATGCTTCTTAAAAGTGGGGGAGGAAATATACTGGCTGATAGCTGAGGTGCCAAACGGGTCAATTTTTGAAACTGGGAGCAAGTTTCTCTAGATAATTATTTAGGAGAGAGGTGAACTTGTGTGCTGGCAGCTGGCAATTTTAAAGCAATGTCAGGAAAGTTGTGTTTCCAGTCCGGTCTCGAGCCACTCCCTGCAGTACTGTAACCTGCTCTTAGAGCTTCTCCTTTTGTTTTTCAGAACGATATCTTCTTACGACATTACGACAGAGGCCCTTGCAGAAACAAGCTTGGCCACTCACGGGCTTCAGTGATGTGGAACAGAACGCAGGTGTGTTCCTAGCCAGCTGGGCAGAGCTCTCATGCATGCATGAAGCAATGAAATTTTACCCTTCAAGGAAGTACCAAGAGGATTATTTTCATTTTTTCATCTAATCCTTTTTCATGACCTGTGCAATGCTTATGCATGCACAAGTGTACTTTATTTTCCACATTAGCTAAATACATATTTTTCACCACCATGTCTTTCAGGTTGTGGGGATCCTCGTTGGACTAGGTATCATAGCATTGGTGACCTCTCCCTTGCTGCTCGTGGCATCTCCATGCATCATCTGCTGCATTTGCAAATCTTGCAGGAGCAAAAAGAAAAAACACAGCCCACCAACAACCTAAAACTCTGTGTCTGTTTGAGTCTCCACCTGTACAGCATATGTATGTGAGAAAGCACAATAGTTGTATTTTGGTGCCACACCAATGCTCCTTCTTTTCTGCCAATTCTTGGGATAAGTGCCTATTCTTTACAGGCTACTCTATCACTAACAAATCCTAGTGTGGGAAAGATCTAGATTATTGTGCAGTACGTATTGTGTAGGCCTTTACTTCCTGAAAAAGAAACCAGTTCAGCATTCAGTAGATCATACCATAAATATGAGGCACCTTTCAAGATTGCTAGAACTTTCCCATTTTCCATCAGCTGCACATGACTTGATCCTGCAGTGTTACCCTGCCTTTGCAGATCTAGTCATTACTGTTGTGCTTTCTGTTGGTTCTTGGTGTCACTCAGATTACTCAGAAAGTTCTGGGTATTTTGTAAAAGAGGGAGAGGGAAAAGCCTGATTATGTTCTTCTCTCTGGTAGTTGGTATCCCGTTAAAAGTAACAAACCATTAAGAAAACGGGTTTGGTGATTTCCTATCAATTGGCTGCCATGGCATTTCTTTCAGAATTGAAATAAATTTGATTTTTACTACTGATCTCAATTACAGAAGCAAAAAACCAACAAAACTCTTTCCAACTAAGACAGGGCTCTCTTCTGAGAGACTGGACTACCTTGAGAAAGCTGCTATTTCTTTCAGTTCAAACAACATATCTATCATGAAATATGAGGAGTATGCATATTTCCCTGCCACTGGGCATGCCTTATGTCAGTAAAATGGGTATAGCAAACTCACCATGAAGCTAATATTTTAAGAAAGGTCATGATACAGTTCCCATGCTGTGCACAGTGTTGGGATCTTGGTTATGTGTGCACAGAGTAGCTGCATGGGTCTACTGGGTACATATGTACAATGTATTTTCTAGGCAGTCAGTGTACCTTTTTCCACAGTTTACATTGGGTGGCAGCAAGAACCCTGTTAAAAAGTTTTTGAGACTAGATTAAGTCAAGTCCTCCTTTAAAAACTTAATGGACCCGTTGAAGTGAATATTTGGGAAATGCTATGTAAATGTGAGCTCCATCCACTGGTGGGTATTTCTTTTGTCCTGCTCAAGGTCAATATACTTTGTTACCAGTATTTTTCAGTTACTCTAAATCTGGAAGGCCATCATTTAATGAACCCTTCATTTTAATTTTGTGCCTCACCACCAGATTAATTCAGACCCTGGTATCAGTTACACTTGTGAAAGTTCAGCTGAAAGAGCTGGAGTTACTCCAGGCTTGCTCAGGTGTAACTGAGATCAGACTCTGCTCCCTGGAGTTTATTTCCTTAATGGCTGGTGCTCCTCACAACTGGGGCTGGAGGCGCTTTTGTTCTGCACTCCCGCCTGTGCATTTTATATCTGTGGGAACAGATACGAGCTTGCACTGGATAATTGGTTGCAATTCCAAACCCCTTTCCGTAGGGGCCGCAAGGTTTAAATGAGATGCTCAGCCTGAGCGTTGTGTCGGGCTCACACTCTGCCAGGCTGCCCTTCTCCACGCACACACTGCAGGTCACCCGAAGAGCGTCTGTACTGTTGTGTTTGGCCGAGCCTCAGGAACTTTGCCTACTTGGCAGCTGTAAATGTGACCCTATTTTTATTTCACTTTGCTCTCTGGTTACCTTCTCAGAAGTGGTAGATGTTCTTCTTTTAAGAAAGCGTAGTCTGCTGAGCAGACTGGCAAGGACGAAGGCCTTAAATGATGCTGTCTGTTTTCCTTTTTAATTGATTTCTTTTATAAATCCTGTCTGACTTTGCTACCAGTCCTGACTGGAGGGCAGGCAGCACTCACCAGTGTGAAAGGCTCTATTTATTCTTCCCGCACAGCTTTGAAGGGAAGCACAAAGGTAGTCAGTCCATTCTAAATACAGAGTGCAATGCAGGCAACTGCCATTTATAATAAATAAAGAATGTTTTCTTGTATGTGTTTTCTTTAAGAGCACTAATGGTAGTGCTTGGGGTACTTGTGACAGATTAGAAAGTGTCCAGCCCTTGGCTTTGCACTATTTTTCTACCTACGTTCTTATGGCACTACTGTCATTTCCATTTGATTTATGAACTTGAAGTTTATGAACTTGAAGTTGCGAGTCTTACTTTAACGAAGCCTCAAGGACAAAGATGTAGGAGCTGTGCAGTCTCTTTACCCATAACCAGCATTGCAATGCACCAATGTCTTCTGCATGTTTTTGCATTTATGTTTTTTCATGTTTTCTGATCTTACCCATGACCAACACACCCTCTGCTAGTCCGGTTTCTTTCCTTGTCCTCTCCCTCTTTCCCTTGGCCTGTTTTTGCTAAAATGCCTAATGGGATGAAGGTGTCTGGTATTTTTTGTTAATACTGTTGTGTTAATGAAACGGTCAAATTCTTCCCTCTGTTAAAGAAATTCAACTGAAGGCAGCTGTCTTGCCCAGAATACAGTAATGGACAAGTTTGACCTTGTTCAGTTCTTTACATGTTGCCTGAAGCTAGTGCAGATCTCTCCATCGAGTGGGAATTTGTTTAAACAGTTTGAAGAATGGAGTTTTATAAAAGTGTTGCACACACAATTGCACACACTTTACAGCCTATCTGTAAAGCCTGGGAAAACAACACCATTCAGTTTATTTTTAAGCACTCAATTTAAGTGCAGGTAGTTCCCAATCAGAGGCTAATTCCTATGGAACATGTCTTATTTCCAGTGCCAGGTTAGGTACCTGGTGTAGGTACAAAAAGCAGTCAAAATTCAGTATGCAGGAATTTACACAACCTGAAAACTCAAATGCCAGTCCAATCATCTAAGAAATATGTATGATTGGTAGAAGTGGCACAGACTGTAGTTGGAAGTCTTTACGTAAAAGCTGGATAAGGAGAGCATGCACTGCAGGCCCGCCTTCCTTTGGCTCTATAAATGCAGCAAATTGACCAAAAAATAAGATCTGGAAATACCTCAGAGGTTAAAAATTGAAGTTTTACAACCACTATTTCCTTTAAAAAGCCATGTCCAGTGCCCTATGTATCCTGGCTTTTTCAATGAGGATGTGCATTAAGTAGGCCCTGATTTGGCCAGCACAGGAGGACGTCCTAACTCTGCCAAGTAGAGCAGTACCTGTGCTGAAGTGCTGGGAACAGTAGAGCCCTGTTGCCTTGTTTTCCAAAAAGCAGCTATTTTACACCAGCTGGTCGTGCTCACAGAGTTTCCCCAGAACCATTTTAGCAGGAATCTTTTTACAGAGTTGGTTTTTGATTTGTGTTGTTTGGGATTTTTTAACTTTAAAAGAAACAATTAAGTCGCTTTATAGAAGATTTTTTGCAAGCATGACAAATAGTACTAACAGAAATTAGGGAGAAAGAAACAAAAACAGGACTCCAACTTGTGACTTCTAAATCAATGTATCTGTAAAACCACCCTGCTGCATTCCATTTTAGTGGTTGTTGGATATCAGTGCCAGTCTTCACTCCCCTTCCCATCTCTCTTCTTCCCTCCATGGTAGGTGGCTGACATGAGGGTAGCAGCGAGAGGAGAGCTCAGGGCTGTGGAAGTGCAGGGTACCACACAGGAGCACCACCCTGCAATCATCACCAGTTTATCCTGGCACCTTTAACCACTAAGTGAGAACTTGAGGGGGTTTACGCCATTAATACGACACTGAGAGCATTCACAGATGTCTCTCTTGGAGAACAGAAGTGGCAAGTACTCCATTCCCTCTGAACTAGGAGCATTTACTCCTTATGAAAATTGGAAAATGTCAGTTCCTAAAATCAGAGACCTGTGCTAGAAATCTGCATTTTTGGTTCATCTGGCCACAGATCCCCATGGCTATGTATTGCACAATATTTCTCATCAGTCACAGGGTCTGTGTCAAATACAGCTGAGGATCCCACTCAGCATCGCAGGTCCTTGTCTTAAAATGAGTATGATACCTGTTCTCAAACCCACCTATTACTAAGAATATTTGTCATGCTATAGCATAAGTGCTGCCCTGTAGTATTTATTCCAGAACTATGGGAGGTGGTCAGTGCTGCTGTTCAGTAAGTGAGGATTTATTATTGGTACATGGGATTACCTACCCTAAAGAAGGGCATGAGGGGTAACAGTAATGAATGTTTCTCAGTGCTTTAATGATGCTGAATGCTACGCACTGTTGTCTGTCCAGTAACATAACATAAAGTCCAAAGATAAGTTTAAAATGTACATACATTTTACTTAAATGAACTAAGAGAAACTGGATATTAGTTCCAGATTTGCTTGGAAATATACAGATGGACAACAATCAACTGCATTTCCACAATGGGACAATGAAATCAACTTTTGTTCCATTCTCTAGTACCACAGTGAGTGGTTGTGCTGTAGTGCCTGCTGCTCTAAAAATTTGAAATCTGTTTTGCACTGGAATTTCCTTCTCCTAGTCACTGTTTTTCAAACAAATTCTTTTTATGATCCTATTTTTCATCTTCTGTCTCAGGCCAAAGATTCTTAGAGTGAAGTTACTAGATTTCTTTGTGTGAGGATAAGAATCTTCCAACAATTTTCTCACAAGTTTTAATAAGAAATTTGATACTGAGGTAACTGACCAAAGATAGAAATTCCAGACTTGTCTTGTTTAGAAAAACTCATTCAGACTTAAGAAGTTGTCTTGTAAGACCTAAATAAGGACTGCTTTGTTAGAGCTCATAGGTAAAGGAGCCCTACAGCTTTTGAACTTCACAGGAGAGATGCTCCTATTGTCAGGCAGACTTCTTTGGAAATGTGATGGGGAAAAAAAAAATCGACATCCTATATGCACATTTTTATTATATAAATCAAAAAGGCTTCTCTTGTATAGACTCACAGCTTAGGGCTTAAAACTCTCTGGAGGCTTTCTAGGATATACTTGTACAGGAATATAATTTTAAAAATACACTGAAATAGTTGAACAGAGTGTTCTAGATATAAACTAACTCTGGTTATAAACTTTCACATATGAGTGTGTAGGATCAGACCCTGATTCATGTGGCTAGCAAGAAAGATGTAAAAATTTACCTTTCCTGGAACAGCAAGAGTTAGTTCTTCTGTGGTTTGCTGGAAGGTGAACTTACTGCTAAGATTCTGGAAAACTTCAGTCTAATTTTTATTTGTCCTTTCGTTAGTAAAGTAATGAAGTGAGAGCTGAATGGTGTTGCTGAACAGGAAGCTCAAAGGCCTGTTTTGTGTCACTATTCTCAAATTTCTCAGAACAAATGTGTTTTTATAACTTATTATTATAATTTATACAGTGCATATGTAATTTATAATTAATAATTATAAAATATGGAGGTTGAAGTATTATTGATTTTATCATATGATAGATTTATTTTAGTTACATTCATACTGGAAGCCCTCTGATTCCTGTGGAGAAGGTCATGGTGCTCTTGGCAAGCAAATTCCAATGATTTGGTGCAGTCCAAAGTAAACGTTTCCTGCTATTTTGTAGTTATATCACAGGGATTTTTGTGATCCCTTAATTGAGTGATACCTTTGAGTTGAGCAAATGTCTATTGTTAGGAAAGGTAGCTTCCTAGCAACGAATTTTATTGACCATCACAATCTGAGCTATACAAGATGATACTGGTTGACAAGGTCCACCAGCTTTTTGAGGACATGACCTCATTTTTCTTCATTTTTCCCAATGCTTTATTTTTTCTTGGATGAAAATTATGGACTTCAGTCATTTGCTTGTGCCTTCTGGATGTCGTCCAAGCAGAAGCTGCAGCTTCTGGTGGCCAAGTGCCAGGATATCCCAGACAGGTTGAATGTGCAGTGAGTTGCTCAAATTTCAGGAAGGCGCCTGAGCTGCCTTTATGGCTTTCTGGGGCCCATGTGGTAGATGTGGTGCACAGGGAGCTCATCCAGGTGAGGCTTCGAGTGTCACCAGCTCTATGGCATGTGTAGTGCTGGGCTGGTGCTGCACTACAGCCTTGATGCTGGGCCATCTTGCCATGGGCGAATGTATCCCGGAGTTTAATCAGGGGCCATATCTCAAACTGGCCCTTTCCATAGCCACCCGCCCACCCCTAAAAGTCCCCAGATTTCACAGCAAATCTCTATTCCTTTTGTTTTCCAATCTCTGGTACAGGTCTGTTTCAGGTTCACAGAAGCTTCAATTCAGATGGGCTGCTTGGAGCTCAGCTGGTCTAAACATTTGCTTTGCCTGATGGGCAAGGCTTGGGAATGAAAATAAGCAGAACTATTATTTACCACACTGGCATTAACATCACAGGCACCAAGGGCTACTCATGAGAGCTCTTAAGTGCCCCAGCATTGCTTATTTCTGAAAAAAAAGTGTGTGTTTTAAATATATGTGGTTTGAAGTGTTCGAGTCTGACATGGAGGTGCATTTCTGTGCACTGCGGTGAGCTGGCAGCGGTCATGGACCCCTCCTCAGTTGTCTAGATGTTTGTTTCCTTGGTACCTGTTTAGGCTTTTGCAATTTGTTTACCTGAGGTTTGTTTTTTTTTTTTCCTTTTCCTCCAGATAATACACTTTCTTCACCGCTTTTCTCCTGGTGAAGGGCAAAAGGGTTTGATCTTTGTAAGATTTGTTAAAATATTTTTGTGTTTTTAAGAGGAAAGCTGACATGTATAAAGAAATAAGTGCTTTTGTAAATTTTTTTGGTTGTATGATTAAACATTTAAATGTTTTACAGATGCAATTTTTTGCACTCTATCTGCATATATTCATAAAAATTGTATTTATTTTCTGTCTAAGGTTTACTTTGGGTTTTTTTTCTTCCAATGTTATAAAACGCAGTATGTGCAACATTAAAAAATTAGTGTAAAGATATTGTCTCATTTTGTTGTAATCCTTAACTGCCTTTATAAAGATAACACAGGGAATTTATGGAAAGAATTTGAATACATCAGAGGTGCTTAATGGAAATTTTGAGGATAAAAGAGGGTAGAAGAGATGGGATCAGAATCTTGACTCTTATTTACTTTCACAAGAATAAATGAATTAAAATCCTTTTAAAGAGCACAGGGCAGGCTCTGGGTTAGTTCCTGAGTGTTGCTTCAGCGATGTACAGCCACAGCGGTGTTCCCTGTCTGTAGGTGGGATACAGGATTACTATAAATCTGCTCCACTTCAAAAGTTGGTGGAGAACATGACTAGGGGTGTATCAGGAGCAACTTGGAGGAGCTGGAGCTACCCCAGGCTGTGGATAGGGGGTGTGTGGCAGGCTGCAGGAGGAAAAGTCCGCTGCTTTCTCTTCCCTTGTTCCCACAGCCCTGCCTGTTTTTGCAAGCAAATGGGGCCTCCAGCTCTGTGTTTCCACAGGACCTGATGTGTGATTTCAGAAATACATGTTCTTAGTTGTCCCAAACCCACATCCTGCAGTGCAAACGAGAGACAATCGCAGCTGTGTTTTTTGAGCATCACATATTAAAAGTGATATTTCCGATTAAATATTTCCAGCTTCGCAACGATTACTCAGCACCTGAAGGTAGTTTTTTCCAACTGGGTAACACATCCTTGAAAATCCCGTGTGTCATCTGTGGGGCTTTTCACCTCAATAGATTGATTGAAAGGTTTTGAGAGTATTGCCTCTGAGAAAATGTTTTCAGGATGAAGGTTGAAGAGAATATCACTGTTGTCACCTACAGCTCCAAATTTTGGTCATGCATGAATATTTTTTTCCTCGCTGGTTTGTTCACAGTAAATTCATCACTGATATTCCACTCAGCTAGTACAGTACTTCATAAAAGTATGTAAAAACAACAAATTACTTGTTTGGCTATGCCTCTCTTCTCCCCACAAACAAAATGCTATGTGCTGCATGGCTTTTCTTGTCCTCTCTTTTGTACTGCAACTCCTGTGGCAGCAAACAAACAATGAGACTTCCTCATTCTTCATCCTTCCTTTGCTCATCATGCTAAACAGGTTTCACTTGGTGTTGTGTCCCATTTCCATGTGGATGAGCACGCTTTTTCAACACGAGTCTTACAGCTTGCTTCAGAGTACAATACAGTACACGGCGATTGCTTAACACTGTGCTGAACTGGAAGAGTGTCAGATTCTTGCAGGCTCTGCAATTATGCCCTTATCGAGCTTTTGTCAGTTCAAAGAGAGGAGGAAAAGAAACTGTAGTTGTGGGGTTCAAATGTAGTTTTTCTAAACGTTCTGGGTTACAGGAACTCTGGGCATAGATGAAGGAAATACATGTAAAGGCAGCGAGTAAGGCTGAAAAATGAAAGGGGAAGCAGCATCAGGTTACAGCACAGCTGGCTGAGGGAGGGTAGTGGAGGGCGTGAGTCACCTTCTGAAAAAAACTTGGTAATTTAGTAAGTCTTAATGAGAAAAGAGAAGGGTAACAGGATTTTTCTCCTTTTTAATTTTCCAGTAAAGTCTAGGAAGAAAATTCCTATAAAGTGTAAATAGAGCAGGAGAACAGCAAGTAGAAACACCTCAGGAAATGATCCCTCACACTGCTAGTTTTCAGAGATAACTGATGTTTTCAGGCCCCTTTAGTATCATCAAATTACAGACCAGGTTCTTGTGCAACAGGTGCAACTCATAGGTTTATGCTTCTTAAAAGTGGGGGAGGAAATATACTGGCTGATAGTTGAGGTGCCAAACAGACAGGCCAATTTTTGAAACTGGGAGAAGTTTGTCTAGGTAATTATTTAGGAGAGAGGTGAACTTGTGTGCTGGCAGCTGGCAATTTTAAAGCAGTGTCAAGAAGGTAGTGTTTCCAGCCTGGTCTCAAACCACTCCCTGCAGTACTGTAACCTGCTCTTAGAGGAAGGAGGGGTGAGGGGAAGGTGTTTTTAAGATTGCTTTATTTCTCACTCTTTGGCTCTTATCCTGTCAGTAATAAATTTAAGTAATATCCCCAATGTAAGTCTGTTTTGCCTGTGATGGTGATCAGTAAGTGACTTCTCCCAGCTCTTATCTCAACTCATAAATACTTTGCCATTATTTTATCTCTCCTCTGTCCAGTTGCAGAGGGGAGTGAGAGACTGGCTTTAGAGGGTACCTGGCGTCCGGCCTGGGTCAACCCACTACACTGATTCAGACCCTGATATCAGTTACACTTATTTAAGTTCACTGAAAGAGCTGGAGTTACTCCAGGCTTGCTAATGAGAAGCTGAGCTCAGACTCTGCTCCCTGGAGTTTGTTTCCTTAATGGCTGGTGCTCCTCACAATTGGGGCTGGAGGCACTTTTGTTCTGTGCTCCCGCCTGTGCATTTTATATCTGTGGGAACAGATACGAGCTTGCACTGGATAATTGGTTGCAATTCCAAACCCCTTTCTGTAGAGGCCGCAAGATTTAAATGAGATGCTCAGCCTGAGCGTTGTGTCGGGCTCACACTCTGCCAGGCTGCCCTTCTCCACGCACACAGTGCAGGTCACCTGAAAAGCGTCTGTGTTGTTGTGTTTGGCCGAGCCTCAGGAACTTTGCCTACTTGGCAGCTGTAAATGTGACCCTATTTTTGTTTCACTTTGCTCTCTGGTTACCTTCTCAGAAGGGGTAGATGTTCTTCTTTTAAGAAAGCGTAGTCTGCTGAGAAGACTGGCAAGGACGAAGGCCTTAAATGATGCTGTCTGTTTTCCTTTTTAATTGATTTCTTTTATAAATCCTGTCTGACTTTGCTACCAGTCCTGACTGGAGGGCAGGCAGCGCTCACCAGTGTGAAAGGCTCTATTTATTCTTCCCGCACAGCTCTGAAGGGAAGCACAAAGGTAGTCAGTCCATTCTAAATACAGAGTGCAATGCAGGCAACTGCCATTTATAATAAATAAAGAATGTTTTCTTGTATGTGTTTTCTTTAAGAGCACTAATGGTAGTGCTTGGGGTACTTGTGACAGATTAGAAAGTGTCCAGCCCTTGGCTTTGCACTATTTTTCTACCTACGTTTTTATGGCACTACTGTCATTTCCATTTGATTTATGAACTTGAAGTTTATGAACTTGAAGTTGCGAGTCTTACTTTAATGAAGCCTCAAGGACAAAGATGTAGGAGCTGTGCAGTCTCTTTACCCATAACCAGCATTGCAATGCACCAATGTCTTCTGCATGTTTTTGCATTTGTGTTTTTTTCATGTTTTCTGATCTTACCCATGACCAAGACACCCTCTGCTAGTCCGGTTTCTTTCCTTGTCCTCTTCCTCTTTCCCTTGGCCTGTTTTTGCTAAAATGCCTAATGGGACGAAGGTGTCTGGTATTTTTTTCATTAATACTGTTGTGTTAATGAAACGGTCAAGTTCTTCCCTCTGTTAAAGAAATTCAACTGAAGGCAGCTGTCTTGCCCAGAATACAGTAATGGACAAGTTTGACCTTGTTTGGTTCTTTACGTGTTGCCTGAAGCCAGTGCAGATCTCTCCATCAAGTGGGAAATTGTTTAAACAGTTTGAAGAATGGAGTTTTATAAAAGCGTTGCACACACAATTGCACACACTTTACAGCCTATCTGTAAAGCCTGAGAAAACAACACCATTCAGTTTATTTTTAAGTGGTCAATTTAAGTGCAAGTAGTTCCCCATTAGAGGCTAATTCCTATGGAGCAGGAGGAAGGTGTTCCTTTCTCCTGTGGATGTCTTATTGCCAGTGCCAGGTTAGGTGCCTGGTGAGGGTTTTTGCTACAGATTTGAAGTCACCAGGACTCCCTTTTTCCTGTCTATATGAAAGACAGTTTCTTTTTTGTGATAAGATCCATGCCTGGAAAGCTCCCCAGGCAGCCACCAGGCCCCAATATGGTAGCAAGGGTGTTTGGAGCAATCACCCCAATACCTGGCTCCATCCCCAGAGCCCTGGATGCTATCATGGCTTTCCCTGACACCACCGTGCTCACCAGGTCAGGTCCCTCTGGCTGCGTGAGGAGGCCTCCGAGCATCTGGGAGGCTGGGCATGTTGGAAGCTCTTCATCGATGTTGAAGTCGTCATCCAAGTCATCCAGCTTAAACTGTGAGCTACTGCCACTGGGGAATGGCTGTAGAAGCAAGCACAGTAGTGAGATACTGGCAGAATCTGCAGGGCTCGGGGCAGAGGATTGAGACCTTTTCTGGTAACTCACAGCCAAGTCAGAGATGGACCTGCTTTCTGAAGAGAAAGAGCTGGGACTACGGGGCAACTAGTCTACCTGGAGCAAGACAGAGAATGCCCATAATATCCTGCATGTCATCTTGGGCTCAGAGAAGGTCTGTGCCACAGTCGCATGGCCTCACTGCAAGGCAGTGCACTATGTCAGCAGGGCTGCCTCGACCACAGCATGGCCTGGGCCAGGCCCACATGGCTTGGGGTGCCTGGGGGCCCTGCCTGGGCGGGTGGGAGGTGGTGTTCCCGATGAGGCTGGGAGCAGCATGGTGGCTCTGGACTGGCTTGGCTAGCTTTGGCTGCTACGGGCCTGGACAATCCACCAGGACTGGGAAGCTTGGTGGGAATGATAACCCCACTCCTCAGAGGTGTCCTGCAGCATTCCCTGGGTCTGGGAGCCAGAGAGTCTCAGGGTCCCTCTCCCCACAGGGAAGAAGCCCTCATGGTTTTCAGGGCCAGCACCTGTCTCCTCGTGGAGTGACGCTCAACAGTGTTGTGACTACCTTTTAAGGATGAAGCTCACAATCTTTGGCACATGGAGGGGACACAGGTGAGGATGGTGCTGCCACTGGAGTACAGCCTCAACAGCCCTTTCCATACCTCTCTGCTGCTTTAAGGTGCCTTCAGGTGCCTGAGACACATGGGTTTGGGATGGAGGAGTGGAGGGAGAAACAAGACTTTAAAGGGATGAAGTACAGGGCAATCAAGCCACAGTGCTGGCAGCAGTGCCCACAGTCACTTCATGGGTGA